GATTAAACTACTAACTGTTGAGAGCTGACTCATATCCCATACTGAGATAGAATAATAAGATTTTTCGTCTGGTAAGACTTGAACAAGTGATTTAGAACGAGTCCAACCCGTTATACTGGTTCTATCGCTAATCGGCATAATCGCTGGAGGAGCGTGTACTTGATGCATCTGTATCAGTACGGTAGCTCCATAAGAGATTAGTGCTACTTATGGGGAGATGGATTCTCGAGATCATCCCTAAGATTTGAATTCAGTGAAGGTCTTAACTAGCAAAATGTCTTCTCACTACTCAAGTAGGTTACAGCACCAGCTTGGACGATTGTTGTTTGCTGTTAGGTACTCGAGAAGAGTGAATTTCGACTTCAATTCGCTGTTTTGATTGTGCACGTGAACGGACATGATTGTCAAGGATAACTGGATGGACGCTGATCATTGATAGTCAATCACAATGCTTGTTCTGCAGTTGTTCCCACACCGTAGTAGAGCGTGTGATTTAAGGCACTTTTTAATGCGTATCAATTTCATTTTCCTCATTGTACACAAAAATGAGGTTTGTATATCTGAGCTTAGAATCAGCCCAATACTTATACTGAGGAATGTACAGTAATAATATTTTGCAGATAAAATACACCGCACTGATAGAAGCATCAACGTGCTATTCGACTAATCTGCATTCAACCAAAGTATGTATGACCGATTAATGCAGTATGAAGATGCTTTTGCCCTGACATGGAATGGCATTTTCACGAAATAGAATCGATTATGTATGAAAACAGGCATCTTTCTGAACAGTCTTCTCTAAATCACATTGTGTATAGGTTGCAGCATGAGGTGGGACACAACGCCTCAGGCTTGTCGAGCTCAGTTGAGACTGCCCAGCTGTTCGCTGTTTAGATTTGCGGTCCAAATGGAAGTTGTCGTTCATCGACTCCGACAATCCGACATACTACTTGAAAGATCGAATTAAATCAGGAGGCGGTAGCCGATGCTGAGTGGTGGGCTCGTGTACACATACCAGGCGGATTGGCGGAGGAAGTATATTTCCGGATGCAGCCGTGGGGATGCTGGCGTAGCTCCGCGGTTCATTGTATTCTCTGCTTACCCACTAGGTTTCGCTTGAGTACAGTCTCTTCCACACCTCAGGAATTCATAGTCCTGCAGCCTGCTGTTATGCAACCTTACGACCTTGCCAATGCATGGTAACCTAGTAGATGCACTTGAGGTCTAACTCTTATCTGTATTTGGAATTTCGCACACGTAGGTCTCGTGTACATGACCAACGGTGGGTGTTCCACTCGCTCTTGTTCTTTTGCACCACAGGGGGCCAATCCAAACTTCGTGCATCCTACCAAGGACAACTCGCCAATACACGTCGCTTGTCAATACGGACAACTTGGCCAGGTGGAGGTTTTGCTTGCTTATGGGGCCGACGTCTGCGTACGCGATATGCAAGGACGAACGCCGGTCGATGTGAGTTCCCATGTTCTCTAAATCGATCGTAGCACTTTCAGGTCCTTTGACTGCGATAATGTCTACGCGTCGCAGACTTGCTTGCGTGCTTTCTTATTCGAATTGGCCCATCTTCAGTTTTACTTGATAAATTTTCAATACTGGCTGGCTTCTGCTAACATCCTCGTTACCTCATTATTTGTTCTTAATGGGCATGTAGTTTTTAAGAGAACAGTCGCACAGTATTCCTGCACATCCTTGACTGTCCTGAGAAGCGTAACTTAGTGATCCTGTATACTGGTCGTCATCCTCTGTCATTACCAACTAGTCTTCCTTCCGTCCGGCTCGACTCGAATGAGAACCACCAAACAACTTAGCTTGTCATGAAGGCTTGTTCTCACTTAAAAACGAGACTTACCAGTTATCGAGTCACCTTGCATTCCAACCTTCAAGAGGCGTTGTAGCCAGCCGAAAAGTCCCAACCAGTGTGGCTCGTGAGTATCTTCGGCTAGCATGAGGACTAAGTCCAAACAATCCTGCTTGGATGTTACTCAGCCGACAGTTGACAAACAGCCGATAAGCGCACCGGAGCAACCCATTGACGGTCTGGAATAGTTCACCAGTGTGAGTTGATTGTGTAGCGGCCACGTCTGCTATACAAGCGGCATGGAGTGATATTTTAGCGCCAAATCTGGACCAACCCCATCGAAAACTTTATCTCGTGCGTTTTTGTGAAGTGAGTGTACCTTTCTGAAACCAAAAAACCTATCCGTTTCTGTTGTGTGATATTTGTTCCTCGATGAGGCACTATGCTTCCGGGATCGTTTCCCCGCATTTAGGAGCATAGATATTACTCTACGCCCCCCTCCTCACTGATCATACTTGTGCCTAGGAGGACTATATCCACTCATATCACTTCAAAATCACTAGACAAACCCTGAATCTAATGGTAGATAGTAATACTTTTTGTGTGTCGGCCGAATTTTTTTTACCTTAACGTGACTTGTCACCCACCGAAAAAACAGCCACGGAAAGAAAGACCGTCCCATGGTTTTTCTAAGTGTTTGTAGTCTGAACCTAGTAATAGTAATAATCCTTCAGCCGTAACACCATTTCACTGTCTAGCTGCTATGCTACAAGAAGAAAGCAAGAGGGCTGAGTTACTGCGAGATTGCCCTAGACTAGACAAGTCCAGTCGAGATGCCGGGGTTTGTTTCGTTCTACGAACCTTCCGGTCAGTAAGCTCGCACCCTAACCACAGCCATCTCGCCCTTAGTATAAGCACTCAAACAATGTTGAAGGCATCCTTACAGGTCTCAAGCAGCTAAACCTTTTGGCTTACTGGATGAACCCTTCTAGGAAAAGTCAAGTGTCCGATTCGTTTTAAAGACTGCCACAATAAAATCGGTAACGGTTTCACTTAACCTGACTTTGCTCGTATTTCCTTCGCATCCTTTGTCTTTCCCAGTTCCCCGCATTTTCATAAAACCCTAGACACTCTGACTGGTGTTTTCAAAGAGCACACTCTAGACATTGGTAAATCAGCCTTGGTGATAGTGATACCGGTGGCAGTTAAACTAATAGACTTTCGTTTTTGCAGAAAACTTGTGGGGTGTAGAAAAATTGCCCACTATGGTGGAAGGCATATGGTTTCATCTGCTCCGGCGGATGTAGCTGCTTTGTAGGGTCACCTTAAATTCACCCCTCGGATGTTTAACTGAAGTCTGGGAAGTTGTGTACAGGCATCTGCATGAGGGGCTTTGCCATAAAAATTAAAGCGCGGTTGTTTTCTTATGTACCAGAAGCATTGCTTTAAAACCACCCTAGAGGAATCTGGTACAGGTTACATAAAGTCATCAAAATAGCACGGTGCCTCAGTCCTGTAGTGTTGGAAGGGTGCAGTTCAGCATGATTTCCAGAGAACTTCAGGTTTTGGTCGAATGATGCTTTTGGCATGAATTAACGTTGTCTGGACACGTCATCGAGTTAGGCTGCACTGGTGACGATGATCGTAGGTTTTGCACTTGTTTGACGGGGATACAGAGAAACCCACGTTCGTCTACCTCTGTTGGCCAGTATTTAGTTTGCACCCACACGAGCTAATCTGTGCTCACGCGAAAAATCGGTTGAGCAAGCTGAGGTATTCGTAGATAGTATGCTTACATCCAGCCTGACATGCATCACGATCGTAAGAATTAGCAATAACATCTTGCGGTCCGTCGTTTCGTATGACCTTGAATAAAAATCACGTAGTTCTTATACCCGTACAAAGGTCATCTGGGTAGCATATTCTCTTTTTGTCTAAAACAATTTCCGAGCCATTAATCAGCCAATAGCCATCGAGTGATCTTTTCGATTAAACAGTGGATGAACGTATGGCATTACTTCTTTGAATTGCAACACTGTGGCCTTCACCCTTAAGTCAACGAATTGGCTGCAGTGAGGTTATTTATCATTTTCTCATCATCCAGACGGTCTGTTTCCGCCTATAAGACTTTGCTAGGTTTCATGTGTTCTCTGCCTACTTGCCCCATCTCCTCGCTTATTCTTCCTCAGCTTGGTGTACACTGACAGAAGCGCACCGTCCAAAAAGTCTATCCTGGAGTTGTTTTCACTGTGTTTGTGCATTGATCCGTAGGACTGAGTACCTCAGCCATTTATCATCCAAGTTAAATAACCATGCTGCTGTTTTTCCCCGGTGAAGTTATCGATTTCCTTTCATTCGTATTTGTTGCTTGTGCTTTCGAAAAGATGCGTTCTATCACGTAATTTACTGTTTCTTGTCCATAGCTGTTAGCCAAGTGGTAACTTGGAACTTCAGAAAGCATGGGAATATTTTTGATAAGTTGTTATCTGTTGTCTGATAGTTTGTAATCTCTAGATAAAATTAGTTATTTGTGATCCAGTGTTCTTCTCCCATTTACTGACACCTGATTCCTTCACTTCACCCCGGCCAGATTGCGTTGGAGCGCTCTTTGGCCGCTGCAGAAGCGGTCGGTTCTCTTCCAACCGGTCCTATTTCGCCAGAACAGAAACTGCGAATTGCCTGGTCTCCGCTTGTCGATACCTTGGTCAACGCCTACTATGAGGTTACTGACGCACTAGCCTACTTTCTGGCGCGACGAATTCCCGATCACAAAGAAGCGGTTTTGGGTCCGAACATCTCCATGTCTCCAGCGCTTCCTACTCGCAAAGACTCATTGAAACCTGGCAGTCGTCCGAATGGAGCCAGCCAAATGGGTTTCCCTTCGTCTCACACAATGACCAGCGGACATTTTCTAATCTCTACTCCTCTTCTGCACACGCTGAATGGAAGTTCAAACGGCTCTTCTTCTGAAGATTGGATCTTCGAAGCTCGCCGGCGACTGAGTCAGTTGCCCAATATGGCTTTTGAGGTATGACGCGTCATCGCTCTTTGAATTATGTGTGCTTTTGCTCGGAGAAACACCTTTTAGGAACCCAAAAGTTTTAGTCAGAATGATTCCTTCCTCGTGCTTGGCATCGTACCACTTCGTTTCACCACTTTGTCTATTTCATCAGTTTCTTCATCTATTGCTGTAGACTCTGATCTTCCGAAACTGGACATCTGCTCAGGGACAGGTTGAGATTTTGTGATTAGGTTGTCATAGATGCATAATACAATCGACTTTTTCAGGCAATACCTTCAATCATCCTAAAATATCCTATCCTATGATTTAGCCTCGATTTCTGTATACTTACTCAGCTGGCTCTGGATATCACAGAATTATCAAAGTCTAGGTTTGTTTTCACTGGATTACCGGATATGTTCACCTATGTTCTGTGATCGAACATGTAACTACCCGCAGGACCTGCTAACGGTAGTCCTTATAACACTAGACGCCAGTAAATCTGGTGTTTCCCCAAGGCTACACGTTTCAGATCAATGTCATTCACTGCTGCACTTTTTCCCTGCTCTCTCACCGTCTCAAGGCGCCCTTTACCCTGATTTTGTTCTAAAAGTAGGTCCTTGATTTGATCTTGGACATCAATTTACCATGATGGACCAAGTAAGAGTGGCACTGCATGTTGGCACACATGGACAATCAGTCAGAGTATGGCCAGCCAGCGGCTCTGTTTTCAGTATCCGTTTGATAGAGCTTATTCGCCCGGTTGAACAGCTATGGTTACCCATCCACACAATTTGATCATTTTGTACAACCTTCACGTGATCCGTTTTATACTTCGATAGGCAAACTTGTCTTACTCCCAAGCCAGTGAAAACTAGCAACGAGAAGTTGAGCCGCAGAAGATGGGTCGGAAGGTAGTACATTTCCTAAACGGAGGAGTGAAGTGTTTCCGAGTGCCAAAATGTACGCTGGTGGCTGCAACAATGTATGCGGATCTCATTTGATGTATTTGGCAGCGATCCATACTATAAGTTATAACAGTGATTTTCTAGTTTCGAGGGTAGGCAGCCCAGAAACGCTGTTGCTAAACAGCAGGTTGCAGGGGCTAGATGGCTCAGTGGTTAGAGCACTGACCGAAAGATCCGTCGTTTGAGCCCGACTTTTGCCTCTCGACTTCCCCTGTCTAGGCGGCCTGTCAGTATCCCAGCCCTCGTGCTTCCTTCAGGCGGCATAGCAGCTAGGCACCGAATGGGCGCTACAGCTGAACGATTATTCTTTATCTTATCCTCTGAAATTCCTATTACGATCCGACTGGTTATGTTCTTTGCATGAAACCTGAACTTCAGCGTAGAAGCAAATGGCTTGCAAATACAGCCATAAGGTCTGCCCGAATGAGAAGTTGACTGGACTCTTTATGATCCCTTCATTCTCAGTCAATCTGGTCTAGGTCACATTCTTTTATCTACAATACCTCCACATCAGTTTCTCTGCTTGGCGGTAATCGCATGGCTTATTGAATCACGCCACGGAACATCGTGCATCTTCATACGTTCTAGCTTCTGTTCACCGGGTCGTTCACACTCGTTTCCATGCAACTGGGTTCATTAGCCGCGCACATCTGTGAATGGTTGTTGTGTTAGCTTCCCACCACCTGAACGAAAACAGCAACAGTCACACCTGACGGTGAGACCGAACCTAGCCCTGGTCGATTGTGATTAATGCCACTCCTTTTTTTCATACCGATTCAGGGCCAACGAAATGGTAACAAGCGAACAGCTGTTCGATAGGTACGCGTTTCTGTGGACAGTAAATATGGGTTGGTTAGACTGCTTGTCTGGTGTGTTTTCACCTTGTGAATAGGCCAGGCACGGTTACCCTGGTTGTGCAACCGGTCGCATGGATATCTCGATTTAGTGTGGAGGAGTAATAGTTATATTTGGGCATTGTGCGCTGAAACGCCCAGTGTATCCATTCCCGTCCTTTGTCGGCACTCTCTATTGCAGCCTTAACTCTCTGATACGGTGTTTTTTCGTATTCGGCATTGGTGTTAAGTTTCACGAGGTTTCTTTTCCTTGTTAGGGCTACTGCACGGTGTTTGGTTTGGGTGCATAACTTACTCCCTTCGGTACTAGAGGGATTGATGTTCGCTTAAGTTGTATGCTTTATGATTGCAGAGTTCCGTAAGGTTTTGTGTGGTACACCTACCTCACCAAATCAAAACACTGATGATTTTAGCCCCACTGGCCTTGAGGCGTTGAAAACAGAATGGTCGAGCTCCGCGAACCTATGCACTTGCATTCAAACAGCTGATTGTTAATCTGTTGGCAGTATATTGAAATCGGTCGAGAAGCCATGGTTTCGGAAAGAATAGTAGCAAACCATAGATACATAGCTTGCTTACCACTCTGTCCTGAATTCCTTGTGTTGTGTTTCGTCGTAAGACGAACAGTATAGCGGCAACTAATTTATAACGTTTGCGAAATGTGGCTACAAACCTTTGGGTTTCGACCCTCACTCTCGCTGATCTGTAGTTGTAGCAGCTAGTGGTATCACTCTTGGTGCCACCTTTGAGCTGTGTGCTGCTGTCTGTTGGTGGGTTTAAGCATCCACCCTCCTACTCGTTATCGTGTTCGATGTGCGTGGAAAGATGTAAGAACAGTAAGCTGGCGCCCTGTGTTGTGTCGTGGCGTATTTCGTTCGTAGTAGCAATATAGAAAATTTACCATACAGACGCGTGATCTTGTGCCATCGATTGGCCCAAAACAATAAGGGTTATGTGTGGCCACTGAGATGCTTATTACCTTGAGGACAGAAACGTTGCAGGACAATATAGTCAGAGACGAATTTTCTTTTAAGGAACGCTAATTCTCCGGCCATCTCATCTTTGCTGCGCATTTAAATTGCTGGGTCCGTTATAGCTCCATCACAGTGATCCTACATATAAAAAAGTGAAATTCTTCTTTTCTGAGGCGTGAAAGGAAGCCCTATAGGTCTTCATAGTTCTAGTACAATTTTAATGAGCACGTGTCGAGAATTCTCATCATCTTAACCATGTTTTAAGAACTGACAAGGGCATTCTCGGTAGTAGTACTTCGCTATCGGTATTTGGTTAGCTCAGTGTTTTTGACTTCAACTCGGTGAAATAGCTATGCTTTTGATGAAACGCGTGGCTGATGTTGCTGCGTATCACCATAGTGAAGAATGTCCCATTCAAGGTTGACTCTCTTCGACGACCATAGTAGGCATTTGCAGGTATTTAGGTTTGAGACCTTCGACGACCTAGTAGGCATTTGCAGGTATTTAGGTTTGAGACCTATGATTTAAGAACCGGTCGCCAACTTATTTAGACAATCATTTAATTACCAGTAAACTTTTGGGTTATTTTATCCGATTGCTGGGTGATTCCCGAGGAGGACTTGGATTTTGATGGGACAGCTACGTGTATGACTAAAGTACTAAAAACCAGGGTCCCAAAGAGCGATCCTAGCGGCTAATATGCAGCGTGGTGTTTGCAAATATGAAGTCTGGTTGTAGCACGGTATTCAAAAGGCACCAGTTACATTAAACCTATGTTTCAAATGTTCTATCTCGCCGCGGTTCGTCTTGGAACTCAATGGTCGTTACGTGATACCAATTAGCAGACCGCAGTCAGCGCGACCACGTTTCCTGGATCGGCGACTACGTTACCGCGACCTACTTCGGGTGGTGTTAGATTGCTTTCACCTCATGCATGATGTGATGTATAAATGAAAGCGTAATGCAACACCAAAAAGCGTTGGCGCTCTAGGAGTGCAAACCCTCTCCATTGAAAAGAACAAGACTGACTGCAGTCGATCCATCGGGATGAATGCGGGTGCGAGAAATTGTGACATTTACAGTTGAAGCTAAGTATATGGAGTGACGTACGCTGTCTGCTTTCTGCAAAAACGGACTATCGATTTTATTTCATACCGAAATTCTGGGCAGGAAGTTTCCTGGATTTCACTAAAATTGGATGTCATTATTTGGGAGGTTGCCAGTGCAACTGAAGCCCTCAATTTCAGCATATTTCACCACGGAGTAGATATTTATAACAAAAAAGTGGCAGATACTTCTCCCGTGATGTCACTTTTAATGGTGTTGATTGAGTTATCGTTAACTAATAGTGTCTACAACTCGCTTTCGCATGATACGTCTCGGTCACCAATAAGGGTTTAAAACTCACCTTATTTTGCGGTTGACTAATAAACTACCTCTGGATTTCCATAAATAATGAATGAAAAAATGAATTACTGACATCCTTAGTTGATGAGCAGGTCAGTGTTGAAGGTAAAAGCTGCAAGATGAACCAGACTTCTTTCGTAGACCTACTATAATGAGCCACATAGAAGCCTTATTTGGCGTTTCATTCATGGCTTTTGTGAACAACCTATTCTTTCTTCAGATGAAACATAGTATCCATGTCGTTTATTTTATGAGGGTTTAGCCGTTAGCTTTCGGATGACCTAATTCGAATAGAAGGAGACGTGAAAGTTTGATGATAATGAGGCTTCACAGTTTGAATGATTTCGGCATTTCATGGTATCTACCTCGGCCCGGGCGGCCGATTAGACGGAATTATGGACTAGCATTTCGATGGCCCAGTTTCAAACCCTACATGGGCTCCCTCAAATTGGCTGCAGGTCCTCTCGTGATGGCCCTGACAGATGTTGTTCCAGAAATAGCGATGTAAAATTAGACCTTAACTCGGGGCTAGTTTTTTAACGGACATCCGGGACTTATAAAATTGATAAGTTTATTCAGTTAGCGGTTTAGGCTTCACCTGCTGATCCTGTGTCCAACCCTACTGCGAATTGCCACTCCAAGCGCCCGAGAATACCATGGTGTTTGTCTGATCCCAACGGTTCTCCGCTTTCTCCAATCGTAGGACTTCTAGAAAGTGTATCGTCACTTGAATAGTTCTCCTTTTTAATAAGGATTTGTGGAGCAACGTTCTGTTTTGTACAGTCCTGTTTCTTCTCCCACAAATCCGAGAGTATCAGTTATCGTTGTCATAGGGATCTTAACGCCAACTCTGTGATTAATTTGGTAAAAATGCCTCCCGCGGTAGTACGAAGCATCCGATAAGTAGCAGACAAAGGAATGGTTTAGTCTGAACAAGGACTTAAATAACTGCTTCGCAGCCCACTCTTGCTGACTCATCTTCAGTTCCCATGTGCAGCGTTACTTTTACCCCTGTAGCTTCTGTTTGTGCGTGTGCCTGTTCACCTACACGTACTAGGAATTGTCTGCTCCATGCAGGGCTTCACGTCATCGTCTTCATGGGCAGCACCTATGACGCTGAGCATGAGCTCGGCTGCCTTTTAGTCGTATGGTTTTGGGCTAGAAAAGTGTGGTTATAAAGAAGTACGCGGTGAAGTGTGGTGAGCGTATCGCTGTAAGCATACTGAGGGCTTTTGTGAACGCAGGCAGTTTGGATTAAAAAAGCTGGCGTTTAGAACTCAGTACCGGTTTCTGGAGGACAACCGACGCAGGGCGGCTACGGTCTTCAGCTGGTTTTCCGTGTCAACTGAACAACGAGGCCCCTCATATAGAACGTCCTAAATACTGAAGTCGACTTCCTGTTCAAAGACCTCTAAATGATGGCTACTCTGGTAAGAATACAACGCTTGCCATTGATCGTTAATATGCATCCTTACCAGTAGATTAGACGGCCGTAAAATGATCAGAACAATATCATATTCAGGCACCTTGTTTGTATCGTATATCTGCTAATTGCTGTATCCCCGTGACCGTTGCTAGAGTAACTTTGAGCACATTCCACTCGTCTTGCAAACGATGTGTTCACAACCATCAGCAGTTCAATACTGACACGTGTCTTGGACACCGTACGCGGCTACAAGGTCATGAAGAACTAGAACCCCCTATTATATTTTCATCATAAAAAAACTTCATGACACCACTGAAGTTCAATCAAAGAGGATAATTTTGTTGGCTCGGGAAAATGCAGGGTGATGGAGGACAGAATCTTCAAACGTTTATTTTGTCGCTCAAATCAGCTATAAAGATTACTGGAATCCAGCCAGGCGCCACTAATTTTACGCGTTCATCGTCGCTATTCTCACTTGAATCAATTCGTTTTCACTGATGAACAGTCAATAGTTGGTTGTGAGCTGCACTCTTTGTGTAATTTACTAGTGAATGAAGCTGAGTTTACGACGCATTCGACGTTGGATAGTGATAGTCCTTATTCGTACTTATAGGCTCCGTTTGTTAATTTTTCCACGATTTTCGTATAACAAGACAAATACAAGGAGTGTTTTAATCTACCTTTAGGAATGTTGCATCTACACTCAGTTTCTTTGAGCTCCCAATTCGCTCGTCAAAAAGTGCGTTTGTTGTGGTCAGTATAAGGTACGCTTTTTACGGTCAAGAACTCATTCGGTTGCGGCAATTGCAGGGCGTCCGGGCAGAAAACTATTAGTTTTCTTCACATTATTTTCTGTCCTGTACTCTAAAACCCCGCATTTTTGAGCAAAGAGGGATGTAATTTTAATCTTGGTATTTAGATGTATCTGACCAACACCATTGTTCACATGTGATTGTTTCATCTGCCAATGTTTTCACCATGATTAACGCCCACCGGCAGTTTATCAATCGGTTTTCTCATGAATACCACCACACACCTTGTACCGCGTTGCGAATGAAAACCAATCAGCAGACTCTGCTGTCAATAATTTCCGTACGATAACTTTTACTGGCTAACTCGACGTTATACGCATTGTTATGGCCGGATTCTACCGAGGAACGAGTGCTTTTGTGTATTGTAATAGTGATCTACCGTGTCGCTAGCATTATCCTTCACTGTTTTATCCCAAGTACTTTATTTACACGGAATGTCTGTTTGTAACGTCGCTTACATTCTGATAAATCTAAAATGATAGGCTACCCCATACAACGTGTGGATGCACTTTCATGGCTTGACTCCAGGTAACGTCAGGATTGCGCTATGGAAACCCCGATTTGCTGTCTGAAAATGGTGTGATCTATTCGCCCATAATTTGGAGGACAAGTTACTCAGTCACTGTACTCATGTAAACGTCTTCATTTTTTGCGCAAATCCTTATGCACACAATGCTCACACCATATTGCGATTTATTTGGTTGATCCCCATCGCTACTGACTAAGCCTGCGTTTAGCTTGTTAGTGATTCAAGTTTCCCGTCTGTCCCAAAAGCACACCATTGGGTTGGACTGTTTAGTGTTTCTCATCTGCATTTGCAACTGATTAATCTTTATGCTGAATGTTCCAGGCCGTCAGAGCTACATCAGTATTAGACGTAACTTTCTATGACCATTGTTATTTGGATCATACACTGGCTATCCATGTGACTATCTTTGCTGCGTCTTACGGATGGTGCTGGGTACTCGCGGCATTCGTCGTTGGTTCAATCTTCACAGTTACCTCACCTTGATCATTATCGGTCGTCAGTTGGGTTTGTTAATGTTTTCAGCTTCCCATTCGTATTCTTTGTGCCATGCTCTTGTCACATCTGGTTTGTGCCTGCTCACATGAAGTTCAGTCTGCCTCACATCCATGTTATTGCAAGTTACTTGTCGAATTCCGGTTCTGGGTGTTCGTCGGTGAATTTCAGTATTGTCACTGATGGAAGCCCATCGTGCTTTGCTCGACGTATCTATTGGCAACCTGCTGATATTACTTTGGATTATCCCAACAGTCTATGTTAGGTGGGTATTTGAATGTCTAGTGGTGTTTTGTCGAGAACTGGCGTTCCAGCTGTAGGTAGGAAATCTTGCTTCAAAGTTCCTTCCTATTAAGCGAGAAGGTTGTCCAGTAGAGTTCACGGATGTTTCATTAAAAATTCGGGGTATTGTGTTAGAATGCTTTTTAAGTATTTCATATTTTATTAGACCCCCCGTTTACTTTAATACAAAGTAGCAGTAAGCTGTCCTCCCTTCTTTCATTTCCAATCCATTGTGTTCCCAAGCGTCTACCTATCCAGTGCAACTGATATAGAGTAAGGTCATTTCAGCTGTAGGCACAAAGAATTGATAGTGAATGTTCGGCACTACAATCGAATTATACAACCGGAAGAGCTAAGTCGTTATAAACCAAGTAACCACCAAAGTTAACTTGCTTAAGTTCAATTTCACGTAGTGAGTTTTTCATTTATCCTGGTCCGACTTTCCCGCCCACCAAGACATCTTTTGGAAGCTTGTTGCCGCTTTACAGAAAGAACGATGCTTCGGATTTCGCTAGCTGACTCAGTTCAATGTGTCCCACAATTTGGGAATTTTCTACTCTCCGAAATGTGACTGCCAACGATTTATGCATGAATACTCAGGGGTGACGTCGGCAATGTTGTGTTTTCTGTTATAGCGTTTGCCAGTCTGTCGCAATTTGTCCAGAAAGCAGCGCGATCATTTGTCACTTTTGCTTCATATCGATCGAATGTTGATTGGCGTTCATCTGTTTGCTTCTCATCCAGGCATCTTCAGTTTTCCAGACATTCTGGGAGCTACTTCTCGCCATACTGTCCTCCTTTTGGCATGTATATGCATGCCTGTCTCCTTACGCATATCTTACCATTCTTGACAAATACTTGGGCTGGATTTCGGAAGCTAATTCGAGCACTGCTTGTTATGAGACAAGATATAAATGTTGCAAGTGTTGCCGACTCTTCCTCCTCCAGGGAAATGCTACCTTACGCACCATGCGGGGTATACTGTTACCGGTATCGGGTGCGCTACTCGTGGGATGTCTGCCCTTCATCCATTTCGCATACTAGAAGAAAAATTTTAAAAAATACAAATTGTTCAGCTGTAGCACCCTTCCGGTGCCTAGCTGCCATGCCACCCGGAGGAAGCACGAGGGCTGGGATACTGCCAGGTTGCTTAAGCCTAGACAGGGGAAGTCGAGTGCCGAATGTCGAGTTCGAACCACGGACCTTCCGGTCGGTAAATTCGCGCTCTAACCACTTGGGCTATCTCGCCCCTTCGCATACTAGACGTAAGCCCGCCCACATCCCTCCACGGGTTTTCTCCAGTTGTCGATTTCTTCTTCTTCCAAGCAAAGAAGTTGGCCCTTGCAATATCTTCGCGGTGATGTCCAATAAGATGACAGCTCGACCTATGCAATCCAAGTAGAACCAAGTTAATGATCGCTGTGGATTTTCTGTAGCTGACCTATTCGACCCCTGAATGCGGTCCACAAAAAATATCCCTTGGATTACTAAGCCACCAAGATGTTTTGACAATGATCACTTAGTCGTGTCTGGCTTATAACAGCGACCGACTGAAGTGTATACAAGGTTTTTCGTGATCTCTTTCACGCCTTTCTGTAAAGTCATGCGTTGTCCACCTCGCGGTTTGCGCCATCCTGAAGGAGGCACGGAGAATAAAACCCGTCTCAGTGGGTGGTGTTTCGGCATGCGTAGCACGTGACCGAACCACCATAGTAGGTGGTGCTGGATGTTTCCGGCGACCAAGCACCCGTTTTGTAATCACCTCGTTGATAACACGCTGATGCCATCCAAAACTAGTCACGCTTCTTGGTCGAAAACCTGAAGACGTCTCACATCATCTGTCCGCAGAGGCCATGTGTCGCACCCATACGACAACACTGCCCATACTGTAGCCTGGTACACGCGACCTTTAAGACCCAGTGAGATGCCTTTTTGACGCCACAAGTGACGCAAGTTAGCAAACGTCATTCGAGCCTTTGAGATTTTTGCACCGACTCCATCAGACACACTTCCGTCAGAGATAATACAACTACCGAGGTATGTAAAGTTTTCTACAATCTCCAGTGGTTCTCCTTGAATTGTAAGGGATATGTTCGCAGATGGCACGTTCTGAAGCAGGACTTTGCACTTTGAAGGAGCGAGGCGCATGCCAAAAGATGGTATGATGGCGGTCAGTTTATTCAACAGGGATTGTGCTTCACTATGGTCTTCAAAGATGAGGGCGATGTCATCTGCGTACTCCAGGTCGACAAGGCTCTCGTCAGCAACAATTTGGACACCGGGGTTTTGAAAACCATCCAGTGTTCGCTTCATTATTTCATCGATGACGAAGTTGAACAAGAATGGGGAGAGTGGACATCCTTGTCTGACACCACTTTTTGTAGGGAAGCTTTTGGAGAGCTCAACATACACCCTCACCCGCCCAGAAGTACGTGAATATAGAGATCGGATTATGTTTACAAACTTCTGGGGCACACCCTGTTGAGCAAGTGTAGTTAACAGAACTGATCGATCAACAGAATCGAACGCACCCTTGAAGTCAAGGAATACCAGGATTGTGGGTCGTCTGTACATGTGGCGTTGCTCTAACACCTGACGGGATAGTGAATGTTCGGCACTACAATCGAATTATACAACCGGAAGAGCTAAGTCGTTATAAACCAAGTAACCACCAAAGTTAACTTGCTTAAGTTCAATTTCACGTAGTGAGTTTTTCATTTATCCTGGTCCGACTTTCCCGCCCACCAAGACATCTTTTGGAAGCTTGTTGCCGCTTTACAGAAAGAACGATGCTTCGGATTTCGCTAGCTGACTCAGTTCAATGTGTCCCACAATTTGGGAATTTTCTACTCTCCGAAATGTGACTGCCAACGATTTATGCATGAATACTCAGGGGTGACGTCGGCAATGTTGTGTTTTCTGTTATAGCGTTTGCCAGTCTGTCGCAATTTGTCCAGAAAGCAGCGCGATCATTTGTCACTTTTGCTTCATATCGATCGAATGTTGATTGGCGTTCATCTGTTTGCTTCTCATCCAGGCATCTTCAGTTTTCCAGACATTCTGGGAGCTACTTCTCGCCATACTGTCCTCCTTTTGGCATGTATATGCATGCCTGTCTCCTTACGCATATCTTACCATTCTTGACAAATACTTGGGCTGGATTTCGGAAGCTAATTCGAGCACTGCTTGTTATGAGACAAGATATAAATGTTGCAAGTGTTGCCGACTCTTCCTCCTCCAGGGAAATGCTACCTTACGCACCATGCGGGGTATACTGTTACCGGTATCGGGTGCGCTACTCGTGGGATGTCTGCCCTTCATCCATTTCGCATACTAGAAGAAAAATTTTAAAAAATACAAATTGTTCAGCTGTAGCACCCTTCCGGTGCCTAGCTGCCATGCCACCCGGAGGAAGCACGAGGGCTGGGATACTGCCAGGTTGCTTAAGCCTAGACAGGGGAAGTCGAGTGCCGAATGTCGAGTTCGAACCACGGACCTTCCGGTCGGTAAATTCGCGCTCTAACCACTTGGGCTATCTCGCCCCTTCGCATACTAGACGTAAGCCCGCCCACATCCCTCCACGGGTTTTCTCCAGTTGTCGATTTCTTCTTCTTCCAAGCAAAGAAGTTGGCCCTTGCAATATCTTCGCGGTGATGTCCAATAAGATGACAGCTCGACCTATGCAATCCAAGTAGAACCAAGTTAATGATCGCTGTGGATTTTCTGTAGCTGACCTATTCGACCCCTGAATGCGGTCCACAAAAAATATCCCTTGGATTACTAAGCCACCAAGATGTTTTGACAATGATCACTTAGTCGTGTCTGGCTTATAACAGCGACCGACTGAAGTGTATACAAGGTTTTTCGTGATCTCTTTCACGCCTTTCTGTAAAGTCATGCGTTGTCCACCTCGCGGTTTGCGCCATCCTGAAGGAGGCACGGAGAATAAAACCCGTCTCAGTGGGTGGTGTTTCGGCATGCGTAGCACGTGACCGAACCACCATAGTAGGTGGTGCTGGATGTTTCCGGCGACCAAGCACCCGTTTTGTAATCACCTCGTTGATAACACGCTGATGCCATCCAAAACTAGTCACGCTTCTTGGTCGAAAACCTGAAGACGTCTCACATCATCTGTCCGCAGAGGCCATGTGTCGCACCCATACATCAACAGAGCCCTTAATGAAGCCTCGTACAGACGACCCTTAAGATCCAGTGAGACGCGTTTTTGACGCCGCAAGTGACGCAAATTAGCAAACAGGATTCGAGCCTTCAAGATTCTTGCACTGACTTCATCAGACACACTTCCGTCAGACCTAATACAACTACCGATGTATGTAAAGTTTTCCGCAATTTCCAGTGATTTTTCCTTGAACTGTAAGTGATATGTTCGCAGATGGCACGTCCTGAAGCATGACTTTGCAATTTGAAGGTGCAAGGCGCATGCCGAAAGATGGTATGATGGTGGTCAGTTTATTCAACAGGGCTTGTGCGTCGCTTTGGTCTTCAAAGATGAGGACGGTGTCATCTGCGCACTCCAAGTCGACAAGGCTCTTACCAACAACAATTCGAACACCGGGTTTTCAAGACCTTCCAGTGTTCACCCGATTATTTCATCTGTAACAAAGTTGAACAAGAATGGAGAGAGTGGACATCCTTGTCTGACACCACTTTTTGTAGGGGTACTTTTGGGGAGCTCACCATACGTTCTCGCCCGCCCAGAAGTATGTGAATATAGGGATCTGATCATGTTGTCAATTGCTGGGAACAGATGTAGTTAACAGCACTGACCGATCGACAGAATCGAAGGCGCTGTCGAAGCCGACGAACATCAAGATTATGAATCGTCCGTACACGTAACGTTACCCTAACACATGACGGAGTATGAACCTCCGAAGCCTCTACCCTGCCGGAATCCCGCTTGGTCTTCACGAGTCAAGGTTCATGTGTCACCGTACCGCTCAACTGTGACACCCTTTCGGTGCCTAACTGCCATGCTACCCAAGGGAAGCACGAGGGCTGCGATACTGCCAGGTTGCCCAAGCCTAAACAGGGGAATTCGAGAGTCAGAGATCGGATTCGAACCACGGACCTTCCGGTCAGTAAATTCGCGCTCTAACCACTTGCGCCATGTCGAGCGTAAGACGACGAATAATCAGTGACGCCAGAAGCCTTGCCGCAACAGAAGTCAAACTAACACTTCTGTGGTTACTACATTCACTGCGATTACCCTTTTTGAAAATGGGTTCACCCCAGTTGTCCGGGGCGATCCCTTTCTCCCAGATAGACTCGAATAGGCTACACTGGCACTGGTTGAGAAAGGTACCAGCATCCTTGAACGGGGCAGGTGGTAGGTCGTCAGCACGATTGAAATCCGCATCGTGTAAACCTAAACATTACAGTACTGTATCTAAAAACTCTCTGTGTAACGACTTTTCGTGCGATGTGACTCTGTGGTTATGCTCTATGATATTGGGGTATTAGGCTCTCCTTTGCTTCACGCTATGACCGAATTCGTTCGGCTTTCTGGGTGTCGTTAAAGAGGAGGACTACTATAATGACTTTTTTCCGCTGCACTTGTTGCCTGGATCATTGCAGACGGAAACGAAACATTCTATTCTGCGCTCATTCACTTCCCCTTACCTTTCCAACTGCATCGTTGCGTGAATGTTTTGTAGCGACAGTAACATTCCCAATGAGTTCACGTATGACAATACCCTAAGCCGTGTAGTAGTGTCTTACCGATACTTTATAGGTTGGGAAGGACAAGGTACAGCACTCCTGCTACGTAAGGAACAACATTCGGATGTGCGCTGGCTATCGCGTATTTCAACAAATTGCTTATTTGGAACGATTACACAGAGCACCAAAAGGAAGGAAACTTTATTCTATGGCCGCCACCATAATGTTGGGTGTTGATTTTGGTTTGATTTATTGTCAGCACTTTGTGGATTATACGGCGTAAACATACTGCCCTGACTCAGCGAATTCCATTAATATCACTCCTAATGGTACTAGGATCATAACTTGTTTTTACCCTGGTCACTACTACTGGAGCCTTTTCTTGGGCCAACCGATTCTCTAGGGAAACAGAAATAGCAAAATGACGGAAGATTTCAGTGAACTCATATGTATTCTTTCGCATTACTTTTTCATAGTTGACTACATAGCTGTTCCAAAAGGACAGCCTTCACTGAATACGACTTCGAAATAGTCTAGTGTTTTCACCGCATGGCCACTATGTTCCTAAGGTACTTCTCTAGCAAATATCCTTTCTACAAATATGAACAGACAACCGACATTCCACTTCTAAGTACTCCCGTTAGAAACATTTCCTCATATGAATAATCTTCTGGACATCTGACCCTCCGCTTTTTCTGGACACTCGTACTGTTAACTTTTCATCTGAAACGAGAAAATTCAGCACGCACGAGCACAATTTCTGTCGTTCTGCCTCGTCTGGTTTTCTTGGCATGAAGAAGCTGTCGGCGCTGTCTTACGATAACGTGAACTACGGTCACTTTCGAACAAGCATTCATCCGTCATGTTTCTGTTTTTGTTTTGGACAAGAACGAGCTGAAGTATGAGCGAACTCTTCAAAGTCATATACACTTGACATTCCCATCCAAAAGCACGTGAAATAACAACATAAACTCATCATGTGTGTCCGCTAAATCCTTCCATACTACTCGATTGCACTGCGCTGCCAGCTGCACTTGCAGGTGGTCGAAATACTGGGCCCAAAGTTCTATCGGTTCGTGGTGCCAACCGACCTTGTACGGACAGTAAGAGAAGGATGCCTGGCTTGTAGGTTAACCGATATGCGCAAGTTTTTTTTCTTAACGACTACGCAAGGTTCGGTCGACTATTTTCCATAACAGTGAGATAGGAGCTGAAGATCTAGGAAAAGTGCAATTCTTAACGGTCAGTGAAGAATAACGCAGCCTGCGGTCGACAGCCCACGACCGGTTTCGCCCTTCTTGGGGATCATCAGGTAGGCGCAGTCCCCGAGTTTCCGTCAACCTTATGTTCTACTTGAACCCAAATTGGACTGTTTCCGAGAAATGCACTCATTTACAAATCACTTTGGTTTTACGAGAGACTCAACTAAATCTCTCGTTTATGGTATTCTACAACTGAATGTGCTGCACACAGGCCCCCAAGTGAGATTCTGCAGTCTGTACTAGTACTGAGGTATGAAGGTCAATTAATGCAAAGCGAAACTGGTGACCACGTGTGGGGAAGCGCTACACACATCAGCTCGTATGATTTGCCGATTCTGTTCTCTGTACTAGATGGATGTGCTGTGATAGGCTGTCACGTTGCATAGTCTTGTTCGCAACTTTTTCTTCACCTTGGCGGCTAGATATTCTTTCGGGCACCCAAGTCCTTTCGTGTCCATGGAATATCAAAAAGTACACCGTATAGCCTGGATAAAATTCTAGGCTTCAGATCCATGGTGTCATTCAGACGATTCTCTGTCTGCTGTCTTGAGAATAAATTTTCCAATGAGATTTTCATCCAGCGCCCAGGAAACACTGTCGAGGCAGAAGCGCAAAGATATCCGCAAATTCAGTAGATACCAGCCCTATCATGAATATCAGAGTTGTGAATATCTTGTCTGGGAGTTCTTCCACCTAAAGACATTCGCATTCCCAATCGACCCTTCCAATCTTTATATGTCCAGCTCTGTCGAATATTTTGTAGGCAGTTGTGGCGACTCTTAATAGTGACGTGTGCTTGCCAAAAATTTCACACAGTTTCGTATCACTATCCTGAAAGCTGGAGTCACGCGACTTTTGTAGAAGGATGAAACTACAATATTACATTCCTGTTTTTTTCATCAGGAGGTACCCTTTGGCCAACTCGTCCAGAGTCTCAGCCAGGAACATGTCTTCTAATTTGTGACACCACTGTCTGGACCATACGTCAGTTACTAAGGTTCTCGTGAGGGATGGTTCTGTTGTGATTATTTCCCGCAGTTTAGCTAAGGCGCCGAGCTGTGCTGTGAGGGACTCAAACGGTTTAGCTCTTATCCTTCGTTTTTCTATAAGTGCTGTTGCTGTTTCGTTTGTTCTTGTTGTTCGTGCTGTTGCTGTAACGGTCCTATCAGAGCTCGGCCGTCTCCGTCTGTTGATGTTTGAGGCGTTTTACGAGATGAGAATGACAGCCCGTCGGTGACTTGTTTGAACACGCGTCTACAAAGTCCTTTATTCGACCTACGCTGACAACAAACGTGCGCAGTCAGTATGGCTACAGCCTGACTGGCTAGTCGGGGGTATCGACCTATTGCCTAGTGGCAGGTTGCCTACTTCATTCACACGGTTCGCAACTACATGCTCTTCAGCTGACTTGTGCTTTTCAAGTCAGATTTTTATGCAGCCGTCTATTCCAAGAAACGTCGAAGGACCTCTTTGGTATACGGCAAAAAGCTCAATTTTAAGGTATTGTTTGCGTCCATCACTGAAGTATCGGTGCCTTCGTCAATACCTGGACACCATGACTGTGTCCCAGTTGTGTCATAGAATACCTGTGTGTCAAAAAGGGCGCCGTGGACAAATGCGGAGAGAGAAGTGCTCCCACTATCTTGTGTGTATTTTAAATCGATTGAAAATTCCCAGTTATCCCAGATACTTTTTCGGGATTTGGTTGCCTCTGGAAGGTGTGTTTCAATAGGTTATGGTATGGATATTTGCCAGTATGTATGGGAGTCGCAAAATTTTCTGCTCAAGTTTGTTAGGGTCTTTTTCGCCTTCTTGATATTTGGATTTGAACTGTTAGTAAGTACTTCAAAGACGGACGCACATTTGGCGCTCCGTGACTTTGTACACTATTGAACAGGCCATCTTCCACCCATTCTAGCGTCACTGGTAGTCTATGTCCAGCAGGTTGTAGTCACATCTCACTGAAATTATGTACATTCGTATTTTTTACATTTTAGTTTGTTTAACTGCTTCTTTCTGAGAACTGTCTGGTCACGTGTTAAGACGTATTCTCCTAGGATATTGTTCTAACATTTTAGACAACTACCCTTCCTGCTCTGTTTTTGTCTATGAGCATAAGCTCAACTTGTCCTATCAGCAGTTCACATTCACCATCCGTCACTTTCACCGACTGTTCAAATGATTGTCGAATGTCAGTGTACTGTTTGTCTGTGTCCACTTTTCTTGTCACCCACATGATATACTACCTGCGATAGCTTTGGAATTCCGGTTTTTGTCCATGGCGTTGTAAAGCTCAGATGTGCCGTTCCACATCGTTGGCTGCGGGCCAAAACTGTCGATCAACTTGGTCGACTTTTTGCGCAACGCAACGCAAAGAAAAAGAAACACAGACACATACCTTGCAGCAACACTTGTATGTGCCGAACCCTGTGCTATGCGGATCAACCGGTCCGTCTACTGAGCAGCCAAGGTTCAGACGTCCACCTGTCTCTCTACCTACCTACTTACTGGCTTACCGAACTCTAAATTCGTTTTAGGATCTTCTGTGTGTGCGCCATAGCTCTGAGTTGAAGGCAACTGTAGTGTGGGCAGTGGCGAGCTTGCTTGATTTTTTATATCAAGCGCGTAATTCTAACTAGCGTATTGCTGGATCAATACCATTCAGTACTGTCGTAATCGCTAATTATCGCCATGATATGACCTCAGTCTGTGGAAAAGTTTTGATTTGAGAGTTGTCTCGGGGAAGTTGCGTTTTTGAAGCACCCCAGCAGAATCCTAATTACTTCACTCTCCTAAATACACCCTTCGGATAAGTTCTTTGGATTCCAAGATAATTCCTTGGAAGGTGACTGTTATATTCTGAAATGTCACTTGTTTTCAGGCCTGGTGAGAGGGGGAGTTTTCACTTTCGTTTTGAGCGATTCCCTCATGTTCAGTGCTTCCGCATACCCGTAATTCACGTACACTATCAGGGCATGCTGAATCTATCCATTGTTCGTCAACTCCTTCCATAACTAGTGACCCTTCTAGTTAGCTGAACTTAAACCAAAATCAGCGAACTACACTCATTTGCGTACCGATTTGGTTTTGACGGGAGACTCACTTGAAATCCGACTGGATCTCCCATTGATTGATGTTCTTAGGCAAATGAATGTGCTGTACCAGGTCGCCTCATGCTTCAGTTGGTACGATATTCAAGATATCGCGATACATTGTGTGAACCCAATGCACTACTCAAAAGGCTGCTGGTCGAAAACCTTTCAGCAACCTTTTGAGTAGTGCATTACGTCGAAACCAGAATCGTTCAAGGGAGACAAATCGTTGTGATAACGTGCATAAAAAATAATTATCTTAGTATACTTATACCATACTGAATTGTCTGATGCGCTTATTCATGCGCTTTTCTTCATTTGGTGTTTCAACTGTGAACTGCTGTAACGATTGGTGTTGTGTACGCATCCGATGCGAAAGTATTCGCGAGGTCGTCATCATTATCCTCATTAAGGACAGCGAGTTCAGTGTTGACACTGCTTTCTGCCTAACAGCCTCAAGGTTGTTTTGATTATTTTTGAAGCCCTAGAGTGAAAAGACAGAACAAGCAGGAAACAGACGTGGTGCTAGCTTTCCATGACTATTCCCAACGCTCAGTCAAACATCATGGATGTCGGTTAGCCGCCATTTGTGGCGACGATCTCAGCTAGCTACCGGGGGTCACATAGTCCCCATTCTGGAAACCATAACCCACGAAAAACACTTGAACTATTCACAGTCCATTTCGAATCCTTCTGCTAGTAGTCGTTCAGCTGTAGCACCTTTTTGGTGCCTAGCTGTCATACCACCCAAAGGGAGCACGATGACTGAGATACTGCCAGATTTCCAATGCCTTAGGTAGGTGGTGAGTCAGCACGCTTAGCACATGGCCCAGTCACCACAGTTGCGGTGCTGGATGTTTTTTGCGAGTGAATTTCATACTACACAATCAAACATCCATTTTCTAATGACGTTACAATTTCCTCGACTCCATGCTATACCATCAATGTTTCTGTGACATCACCGGTCAAAAACTCGAGGATCCCTCGGATCATCTGGCCTTAGAAGCCATATCCCACAACCACACAGCAATGCAGACCTCATCATAGTCTCGCACGGTTGTTGTGACCCCGTGATATACTTTTTAACGCTGCAAACTACACATGTTGTCAAACGTGGTCCGCGCACTGACTTCGTCGGACTCCATAAGAGCTAATACAACTACCGAGGTATGTAAAATTCTCCAAAACCTCCACTGTCTCTTGAATTACAAGGGGCATACAGAATGATGAGGATCTGTTTATTCGCAGTGTTTGTACTTTGTCTTCAATCTCAGATCTTTGAACGGTGATGTGTACGTACTCCAGGTCCATAACAATTTGGACATCGGGGTTTTGGAGGCCTTACAGGGTTCATTTCATCTTTTCTTTTTCGATGACTTAGTTGAACGAAAATTGAGAGGGTGAACATCCTTGACTGTGTCCGGAGGCGAGGCACCCTAAGTAACCGAAATTTACATCGATAGGACAGAAGTGTTACGAACCGGCTACGGACCAAACGAAGGTATGCTCTGTTAGGATCAAACGTTTAGGTTGGGGATCCTCGTCCCATCACAAAGATCCTAACTCGACCTTGCGCAGACTTCCACGACAACCCTACAGCTATGTTGTAACAGTATTTGCTTTTCTCCATTTAAGACTGCCAATAGCTACCGTGACTTTTGATAGGCCATAGTTAACGGAAATGCGGCTAAGAACCAACATAGAATTTCAAGCACTACCTGCGAGGCACAGCAGTCGGACATCATTTTTTGCAGAAAATCTTAAGAGCTCACCCTACACTCCCACGCGCCCGGAATTATGTGAATGTAGTGACCGAATTATGTCGGCAAACATCTGGGACATCTTCTGAGCAAGCGTGAGTAGAAGCATTGCGCTATCGACGGAATCGAGCGCACCCTTTGAGTCAAGGAGCTCCAAGACCATGGTTTGTCTGTACTTGTGATGCTGCTCTAACTCCTGACGGTCGAAATGACGCTTGCCGCCTATGGATTAACAGTATCTCTGGTTGACTGTACTTGTTTGGACTAATTTCAGGAGTGCGATTAGAGTCTTCAAAAGCCTGGCTTCAAGGCAGTGCATAGGTGCCGGGATACTACCGTAGTAATATCAAGTGTGACTCATTGGACCAAAGACGTGCACCAACCCGCACGATAAGATCCGGTTTCCTTGAGATGCACAAGATGACGTCCTTAGTGTGATGGGTAAGCATATCATCTGTGCTTATACCGTTGCATGGTTTTAAACTAAAACCTGCGTCAATGGCGTAGAGCATTCCGATTATGTATCTTCAGTTAGGCGATGTTCATGAAAGGTGTTCCCTCTTTGGTTCTGTGGGGAATGTTTCCTCGATAGGCGTTGTAGAGAAAACATGTATCTCTGATGGAGGTATTTCCTCTACAGAGGAGAGGTGTAACGTGGTTAATTTTCAAACAACATCATCAAGACCTAAAAAAAATTTAAACGTTTGTAATCTTTTTTGTACATCCATGGTCGAAAGATCCTGCCCATTGAAACGATCACGTGCGTTGTAGATATAACAAATTCACGATACACTATTGCTTGTTTTCAGTCCTACTGAATTCCAGTTGGAAATGTCTCACATATAATCCGCCCCCTCCAACAACTCGATCTGCACCGGAAACCCATTTTTCATGCCTGTTGCACGATTAGGAACGTGGTACCGTGTGCTGTGTTCATATCTGTTTGTTGTGTTATGAGCACTTGGTCGTTCCGGTGCACGAGTACCAACCATGTGTCAATCAAACATCGATCGTCTTTACTCCGGTATGCTCCATGTTTCATCATTCTCAAGACGTTTCTCAGGCATGTCGTCTTTTTATCGGAACCGCTTTAAACTCTTCCTTCAGATGAGTGTATCTTCGTTCGTACCAGTTTCCCGATTAGCACTCATCATCTCTTCAAACGTGGGACCCATCCTACCGGTTACCATTCTTTCTAGAAGCTGCAAATCACGTACTTTGTAGGATCTTTCGATAGCTTTTTCATTCACTTTTTCTACCTCCTCCAGGACCTTTGTGTGGATGTCTACGATGAAGCTGACCGTCGTCTGACAAATTCCTTCCTAGAGAATTCGGACACTTCGGTTGCTGATCAAAGACCAAACCACAGCTCAGATTCATCAATCAGTGGTGCGCATGATTACCGAAAACCGGTCCCACCTCCTCACAAGCATAACGCACTGACCGTAGCCAACCGAAGTTTGACTCTTTATTTTTTGCCACCGAACACAGCCTACACTTCCGTTCGTAACCAAGCCCGTCAGAAATTGGGTCGATTGTCGACGGTAGAATTCCACACCCTAGTACTCGATATCTTAACCGAAGTTTCTACGCGCCTCCTTCCTTTGTTCCCTCCAGTAAGATCTTTAACCAACCACGCTCCCAGACCGGATGTCAGTTCCCATCAACACCACCCTTATCAGGCCTATCTTGCTCCGGCCATGTTAACTGAGGACATTCCCACCTCAGTGCCACCCCGATCCGTACCCCTCCCTTCACCGCCGCTAGCAGAACCCGGGTTGGAATGTGAGGTTGATACGCCATCTCCTATCGAACCGATTACTTGCATGACGAACCCCTCGAGTGATCGCGATCGCAACTCCCAGATTGAGGCAGATCGTCCTTTGTGTTCGGTGACTAAACCACAACAAAACGGAATTCGAACAAGCCGGACACGCAGTGATGACCCAGTTTATGATCAGGTGAGAATGCCTGTGGTACATCTTTTTTCTTACTAAAATGTTCTGATTGGAATCTTAGGATGTTCCTGTAGAAGTGTGAAACTGTCTCAACATGAGCTTAAAATATCCCACGGAGGTGCATATCCTCGTTGCGCACAGATCGATTAACTGTTTGCCGGCACCGACCCCGCTATATTTCGTCAACCAACAGGCTTGAAACGAACGGGACCTTAATCTCCGTAAAAACGAGTAGTGCGTGTAGCTTGGACTACCACACGCTGTGTGCACCTGTGAAATCTGACAATCTTGTCCTGTTGTCGGAACACTCGATTAATTTACTGCCCACCAACAACTGTGTTCGTTTTACACTATTTTCCAAACCGTAGCTGTTTGGTTTACTGAGCAGTTTCTTGTGATGATCTTCACTCAGATTGTTTAGACTGCCGTTGTGCTGAGGACTTTAGCTACGTCTGAATCGGCAACCACTACTCTTTTTCAATTGTTGGTGCAGCTCCTACATATATCGTTTCAATCATGGTTGAGTTTTCCGGTACTCATGACGTGTCGTATTTGTGCGGCTTCTCAGGGGGCATTAGGACAGAGGAACCGATCTCACACCTTCAAAATTCTCCTTTCTGTCGTTTTACTCTGTCATCCTGAACTTATGTGATTGAATGACGTAGAAGTGCAGTGGCCTGCGCGTTCCTTCAACAGTATAGTGTTTCTTCGTCGCTTTAATGCACAGCTATGGTGTTAGTCGCTGAGAATATTATTCCAGTCGAGATCTACTTTCGGTTTCTCCGGACGGATACACCAAGGAGAACTGTTCTTGTCAGCTACGACATCGTGATTCGCACCACGCATGTTTCTGCTGCCACATTACTCAAATTATGCCATTCGGTGCTCAACTCGTACCACTGTTCTTTTCAAAATACAGGGTTGTTTCTCTCGAATGTTACTGTTGTCGGTCGTGTTTACCCACTGTGTGGTCTGCTCCCTACCAACCTTCGTGACCGTATTTTGGCAGGATTTTCTGTCGTCCTTACTTTGTGATGACAGACTTTTAGTCCGGCGGGCATACCTGCCGCTATTTTGCCAATTCCAGTGTAATTAGTTCGCTCTTACTTTGGTGCAACCAGTCTTGTTTCACGTCCCTGCTCCACGATTTGAGTATATGATCCCATGCAATAGAATAGTAACTTCGTCCAGTGACGTTTCTCCAAAATTCAGAGCAATATGAAAGACGTGATAATTTCGATCATATGTCTGCGTAGTTCCGGCAATCGTTTGCTGCATTGGCATATTGTTTTCTTGATATTTTCAAAGTATTTACACAGCACTTCCTGCAACGACCTCCTATCTGGTGGGATCGCGGACCTCGCAAGTGGAAAATTGATCTGTTGCCATGTTTAGAATTCTAGTGCTTTTAACTACGATTGAATTTGACTTAGTTTTCGTGTCGTTGTGATGGGAGTCACTAGACTGAATATTCTGCCTATTCCTCTTGTTCTACACTCCTTACATCACAGGTTGCTGCCGATTCTGACGTGCAAGCATCTTTAACCCCTACCAGTCCTAACATTCCGCATTCACCAAGTCCATTGTCATCGAATGCTGTCACGAATGGATACGTTGTGCGGAGTCCCACTGAACATGGTTCAGACCCTTCGACATCAGTGGTTCTGTGTGACTCAGCTGAAACGAATGGCACAGTGCTAGTGACTGACCCGTTGTCGACATCCTCTTCCGCCCATCGTACACAAACAGGTGCGGAAATAACCAGTCAACCCGGTCTGAGTCCAGGATCGAGACGCCTTCATCTGAGCCATACTAGTCGGCATACACAGCATCGTGCAAGTGTCCCGTCAGCCCAGACATCCATACAAAAATCCATTGATCTGTCGTTGTCTCCTATTCTGGAGGCAGCCAACTTAGCCACAAATGTACCATTAGCACATCTGTCACCCACAACTAGTCCCAAACCATCGACTGGTAGCCCGACGTTCGTACCCTCAACTTCGACTGCGACCCCCAGTGCTGAGAGTCCACAAAAGTCTGCCATTGAACCATGCTGTGTTGCTGCAAAGAACGAGATCGACAGACTTCGTCGTGAAAATGTAGATCTACGTTCACAAATGTCCGGACTGGAGATTGCAAAACAAACCATTGAAGACAGAATGAAATCGTTGGAGGTACAGGTTCAAAAAATGAGCCAGGTTGTTGAGTCGCTGCGTGAAGAGAAAGTTAGTTTCATTTTGGTTGTATACTATGCTAGATTTTATACAATAGTTTCTTCCTTCCTGAAGACGTGTAGTATTCTTTTCCACTGCGTTCTGATGTTGTGTGAGACGAACTGATCCATGTTCATCTTTATCCGGTTTGTATCCGTTTTCGAAGACTTTACCGTTTTAAGTTAACATCATTTCTTGTACTCATCACTATTAGAATATTCGACACCGGACGCATATTTGTCGGTTTAGTCTTCCCTGGAATCACCGACTGCTGGATTCAGTCTTATGAACCGGAACAACCCTGATTGTCGAGTATGCACTCACGCGCCTAATATCCAGCAGTTACCTGTCTTTGCAATGCGCCAATGGGGAAATGCATTGGAACTGTTTTGACTGTTTTTTGGCATGATGCTTTTTTCCGCGCAGTGGGATATTATTATACTGGTTTCGTAGCTGGCTTCGATTCCTTTTTCTGGCGTTTTCATTTCCCTCTGAGCCCTGTCTGTGAAGCTTAGTAGTCGGTTTCTGCTCTACTGTAGCCATGCATTTTTGGGCGGAATCCGGAGTTCATACTCGAGTTCAAGCAAAGTTCCCTCTCAACTTCTGTCCATTTGCATCATTTTGGATAATTTTGATTCATTTATTTTGCAGACCGCACTTCTGGCTGCGTTTTCGGCCGGTATGGTTATGACACACAGTCCGCCAAATTTACACAAAGCGATCACAACTTCGGCACTGGCGGATGTTCCCACTTCACAGGTTGTTCCTATCCAAGAGGCACAAGGATTTGCTTCGTCAAATGGCATCACCAGTACCACAGGAACTGATGAGACCAAAAAGGCCGTTACAGAATATGAGGAGGAAAATGATGACTACGGCGATCGGTCTTTAGAAGCGGGGAATTACTCAGTTGGTTCGGAATGCTTGGACTCCGGAGTCCTTCTTCGACAGGGCATCATAATGCGATCCGGTGGAAGTCGAGGTGGTTCACCAGCCTCATCTGTCCCTGCATCTGAGTCCGCTTTGATTTTGCCAACAAGCTCGTCTCACGAAATTGGTCATGTGATCCGACCCGGTGAGGCTGGTCAGCACGAGACATCCCCAGTGTGGCATGCCAGCCAATCGACCCCGATATCCGGTTGTACTACTTATGTGAACGTCACTTCAGTCCCCCCGAGGCTCTTGCCCAAGCCAGTAGTCGGAGGTGTTCGTGTTCTCCCAACCTCTTTTACTTCACCAACAACGCCGGGTTAGTCTTTTGCATTTGTTTCCGAAACCTACAAATAAGAACAAATCGAGGATCACAGCATGTAAACGACATGTACCTTTTTTACATTTTGTCAATATGTACTTCGCACCGAATACCTTCTAACCGTTCCCGACGTGTTTTCTAACTCACAAGTAATTTACTTCAAGTTTATAAGCTCAGCTCATCTTGATTTTAAATTTGTTCATCCCTTCCAGTCGTCCTGAAAAATGACGACTATATAGCTCCAAATTCCACCGGCTCAGCGTCCCCCGCGCCACCACTGTCTACCTCAGACCATTCGAATCAATTCACTCCCGTCCAAGTCGGGGTAGGCACAGCCGGACCAAGGTTTCTTCAGCAGCGCAAACAGGAGCTACAGAAACAACATGCACAGATCCTAGCTTCTATTGCTGCATTGCCAGACTACGATGCTCCGGTGGACACCTCAACCCCGAGCTCCCCCGTGGCAACCGTCGAATCTACGAGTCAATCCTCTAAGTCAGCTATTAGTAGTCCATCTGGTGGGCCGCCAGACTACGCTAGTGGTCAGGGTCCGACTTCCGATCGGGTGGTTCGGTGTGTGGAGACAATTATTGTGCGAATCAGAAACCTTGTTCAGGTAACTTCATTTTCCCGGTTACAGCATAAACATCTGTTGATGTTAGCTAGCGCATCCCATCGCAGTGCACGTTTTTGTTAGCCACTCGCAATATATTGACGTACCAGTCGTCTCATCTGGTTGCTACCATTTCCTACACATCTCAGAAACATGGTGTATTCGTGTGTCCTTGCTTAATGCGTACCGATAATTTCGTGTAGTTTAGTGCCATTTTTTGCACATCGTGGCTGGTACGGCTGACGACCTTGTTCAAATCGTCAACCATTCCACAGTGGCATCTTTCATTCCAACTAATGTCACTTTTTTCATGTGCCTGTGGGTCCGAATGCCATCCATATATAAACGGGTTTTAAACATCAAACAACTGTTGTCCATATTCAGAATCAGAGACCGCTTTGTGTGTGCACATGTAGGCCGGCTGAAAAACCAATCAGCTTCAACCGCGTACTAATCGTCTCACTTATCTGACGCGTACAGATGCGCGCCACGTTTGATAAGGCAGGGTTTGTGGTGATGAACGAAACTTTACTGGATTGTTATCGGCTGACTTGGAACAATGGCCAAGCACTTTCTACACCTCTTCGGCTATGTAAGCGACAGGTCCTCCGCGAGTAACCCGTGGCTTATTTAGTTCAGGAAAAATGCGTCGCAAAATGTGACGAAAATGCCCATGAAGCAGAACCAGAAACAACGAAAGTCAGCAGATTACACGGCCAACGATTATTAGACTGATTCGTATGGTCAGAGGATCAGGAAGCGCGATGTGACAAACCTCTAAGAATGATTGACGATGTTGGGTTGCTGGCACCATCATTCAGACCCCGCTCCTCAGTCAGTCGTGCGTGTAATCAGCTGACGTTCGTTGTTTCTGGTTGAAACGCTTCATTGTTTTGCGAGCGCCTTCGTTAAATTTTGAGTCCTAAAATATGATCTCGATGGGTTGTTCCGGACTTCAATATAATATATATATGTCAGTGTTGCTCTCATTCCACAGCCTGCATCCTGTTCAGCAGTGTACTATTTCAAACCGAACTGTCTCGTCTTTTATCTTTTCCATCCAGCTGGCCAATGGTGAACGAACCGGGGATTTTGCTAGCTGCTCACTGCTCATACAATCGGCCGTACAAGACATTCTCAGCATATTCCCTTCGTTGCACCAATGTCCTCCCCGCGTGGTCAATGCATTGTCCGACTTATCTTCGGTTTCGCGACAGCTCAGACCCCATTGTGAACTCATGTCGCGTAAGTTGCATGCAAGTTCACTCGCCCAACGCCAAGGCAACGCGGTTCCCCATACTTTGGCGCCCGAAGTTAATGTCCTCATTCGCCATGCACATCAGATTGCAAAAGCCGCCAAGGAGTTGCTGTCAATTTTTCAACGACCTGCTTAATTAAAATTGTTTCATATTTTGCCCCACACCCAAACGCAGAAATCCAGTTAGTTGAGTTGGTCTGTCAGGCAGAACTCAACGTACCTTTGCTATGCGCCATCCACGATACGACTCTTACATCTTGCTTGTTACATTTTTCGCTATGACCCTGTATAGGTATCAATCTCTTCCACGTACCCTTTTACTCTCTACAACGGTTTATTTTCACTGGATGACTTGTCTTATTATTTCTATCTTGTGATTTTCTTTTTTACTACCTGCAGCTTGTGTATTTATTAGTCCGTGGCTTGTTCTCTTGTAGTAAAGCGAATGTATCCCCCATCACGTGCGCTACCAGACGGAATGTTTCCATGCATGTTGCTCTGTCTGTCCACCCTAATCATGTGCATTAGAGAAGCATGAAAACCAAAAACTCTTGCTGGCAAAGTTATTCTCCCCTCTCACGATAAGAAATAGCGCCACAGAAAACCTTTCCCAAGCCGAACCTGTTTATTACGGAAAAATCACCAGAGTAATTAACCTGATGAATTCGCAAAAGGGAAATCAGTTAGCACCCTACGAAGAAAAGTTTATAAAACTTGATCACTATGGTCATGGTTAGTCGGTTGTAAAGACCCTTTGGTGAGTTTGGTAAGCTGGGTTGCCTTGTGTTGCACGAGGACTCGTTGTGCACCTACTAATCACGCTAAGTATCCTGATAACTTGCTGATTGTCTGGCCCTCTGGACAGCGTAAATGTTTAGATGTAAGTTCTATTGCATTACCCGGTTCACCGCTGTTCTGAAGTGGATTTCCACTGGTTCATTTAGTTCGGCGATTAGTCTCATTAAGCCGTTCGACTACGCAACGGAGAGACGATGGCTTCAACATCAGAGCTTCAGCTACTTCATCTGATATAATTAACAAAAGGAGGGTAAGAGTGCTAGAAACACTTCACTAGACCCACAGTGACTGTCACAATTGATCGGTGGACTCAGTGGAAGAAGACGCTCATGCTCCGTGATTCCCACATAGAGTTGCCTGGCTATCCGGCCTTTGAATTTGGCGGATGCAGTTTGTATGGTGTCCTTAGCTCTTATGATTTGTCCTTTTAAGAACGTTTTAATACCATAAACCGCATTTATCTTCTGGATGGCATCGGAAACGTCACCTCTATAGGGTATTCCCAAAGTTACCACCGGGCTTTCTTCCCCTGTCTCACCGTTTCGAGTAAAGTTCTCACCACATGGAATGCCGTTGAACGATTATCCATCAACTCTACCCTATGTATGGCTTCAGTCGCACCCTGAGTGAGCTAACCATACCTAAGGAACTTTATTCGCTTGCGGATTGCCTTACACACGACTTATTAACGGCTGCGGTATGCCAAGATAAATGCTGGTCGACGTATGACGGAGAGAGTTGAGATGGCCTTGTAACTATTTCGAGGCATATTTCAATCCTTACTGTCTAACCAACATTCGTACCTGTTTTACTGGTTGTTAGCCTGTTCGCCATGCTGACAACTTTGTTTCTCCTTCTACATGTTTGTTCACTACAGTTAGAAATATAAAAGTAACCCTGATGACTATCTCGTGTGATTAACCGAAGCCGCGCCCGTTTCAGATGGTGCCGCTTCTTAGACTGGGGGAAAGATAAGGAAACACGATACCTAATCGTTCCATCCAGTGGAGGAATTCAAGCTCAAAGCCATTCCGTAGATATGGTTTATGCGAAGATACCTTACTTCACATCAGTTCTGTAAAGTGATGAACACTATAACGGGTTACATGTCACAGTGCTTAGTAACATTAAAGTCTACCAGTATAGTAGCAATAAGAATGTACTAAGAACACCTTACGTGTATACAAGAAACGAACAGAGCGATCTAAGAGGGCATTTATTGTCGGGTACATTTCACTGCGCTTTTATTCATTACGGTTATGGTAGGTCAAACGTCAGTTGAGTTGTAAACGAACAGAGCGATCTAAGAGGGCATTTATTGTCGGGTACATTTCACTGCGCTTTTATTCATTACGGTTATGGTAGGTCAAACGTCAGTTGTGCTCACTCTTGAATTCATTCGGCTCAGCATAACACTGAAGAACACTCCAGATGAGATTAAACTCCAGGTTCTGTGGTGGTCCCTCTTGAGGAGAATCAGTGCAGGCGGCATTATAGCTAACTCACTCATCTAAGGAAGACCAAACTGTGTACAAGTCAGCTGATATACTTGGGATCTGCTTGATGCACATGTTTTTCGTAAATGCATCAAAATGCAAACTACGGATGAGGACTATAAGGTGCAAACTACTGGGATGTTCGTAGAAAGAATAATCAAATCAATCAACAAATTCGATCACACCAATGAGAAAAGAATGACTATAGGTAATGGCCAAAATTATTAGCCCGTGGGGTGTGGCGCTCCTTGGTTTTCGATCTCATTCAGTTTCTCCAATATCTGCTGTACAGACTCGAACGTACATGTAGGCCTGTGAAGTGTTCTCCCCGGGTCATTCTCCACCTTGCTCAGTAATTCGGAATCTGTGACGCCCGTCAATACGCAAGCAGTGTACATGCCAAAACAATTCCCAAATGCAATATCCGTATCCAGTCTATGGGAATAATGTAACGGTGAAATGCACAAAATTACGATGAGTTGGAATCGAAAAAGCTAAATGTATGTAGTATGCCACTCATATTTTGTTCTTCTGCTGGGACAACAAACTAACTGGTTCAGATCCGCGACATATCCTCAATCGGTATGAAAGCAAAACACCATTACTATTGATAGTGAAACAGTGAGGCTAACACTAGTCGTCCCATGAAAAAAAATAGACGAGGAGGGATACGTGTCAGAATTGGCCTAACACAAGTAGTTCCGAACAGATAGAAGTCCGAACAACCAGTGAGCTCGAGATGGCTCAGTCGTTAAGACACGAATTTACTGATCGGAAGGTCTGATTCGAACCTAATCTCAGCATTCCGAATGCTGAGGCTTTGACAACCTGGCAATATATTTCAAACCTCGGACTTTCTTCAGGTGACACGGCAGCTACGCACCGAAAGTATTACGACGGAGAAGTAATATTTTATATTAATTATTATCCAACCACCCAGTCAAACGGTAGTGGAAACTGGCAGCTTTCTGGACCGTGTTCTGAGCAGGGCGATACTGTGTCAATAAATTCAGAGACTTCATCAAGGTTGAAGAATATGCGGACAACCTGAAAATCGTTCCATTTGGAACAACAGACAGCCTTTGTATAGCACATTCAGTTGAAGCCTATTATAAACGAGGAATTCAAGTGAATTTCAGCTGACTTTCCCGTCGATGCCAGGTTACTTTGCGGGTGAACATTTGCTGAGAAATCGCTTTTATACTTTTAAGTGTACCCTGGTACCCGAAAGACTCAATGAACTTAAGGGGATTCATGCACAGTTCATATGAAATCGTCCGAGTTATTTTCACTTGCTGACAGGCTACTGTATAAAGGCTCTCTTCGGAATCGATCGTGATTACCTTTATGTCCTGTCTTGCTAAGACAAGGGCGCCCACTCTAAAGTTGAGCGCTCTTTGCTTGAATGCGGCCACTATACGAGATTCAAAGAACGAGATTCCGGAGGAATAAAAATCAGTCCTCATGTGGGATGGACGACGGTCCTCACAGGATGGTTGTAAAACTACTGGAATACTGGAACATTATTCTTGGAACGCTGGCATAGTCTATCCTATCGTCAAGAGCCTGCACCAGTCGAAAACGATCTACACATATATTTCATCGGAATCTTTCGAGTTCTTAACCAGAAACGGACGACTGAACTACGTGCAGCGTACTTGGTGCGGGACTCAGATAATATGGCTTTAGATATGGTTTCACTGTTGCACGAAAGCAACCAAATGCAGCTATATTTGATCAGATTTAGGGGGTGAAAAATAGAAAATAATCATACCGGTCTCCGATCATCAGTGTCTTGTCCGGGTCAATGTTGTGTTGACTGCGCAGAACATCGAAAATCGGCTGATGCGGTTTCCCCATTACAATTGGCTCCTTACCCGCTGCATACTTCACGGAAGCTAAGATTGACCCTGTGCCTGTAAGACGTAAATTAAAAGCAGTGACCTTCTCATACAATGATTAAAAACTCAACAACCTTGATGAGCTGCTGAGAGGTTTAAAATAAAATCACAATCGGACTGAAAGACAAAAACTAGAGTTATCTCACCCACGGGCCCATTAATTTGGTTCAGGACAAAGCAGAATAGTGTCCAAGCTCTGAGGCACTCGATGACAGAAACTACGGGAAAGGTTAACAAACTTCCAGGTCTAATCAGCTGGAAACTGTTTGGCATTAACCGACAAGTCATATTCTCATAAAGGTTTGATGCATTTGTTGCTGAGCAATGTTCCGAGCGAACCAGTGATGCTTTCAGCAAATACAGAAAGTATTTTGATCGTCGAATGAAGGTATCAAAGAACGCGGTTAAGATACTTCCAAACTGGTTCAGCGACGCTGACTAGATTGGTTTGGACAGGTTATCCAGCCTCCCGATTGTCCAACCCGTTCCCGTCGCTGTACAGAAACCTGGATCTCAACCTTTGGGACTGACTGTGAATTACTGCGCCTTCGTAACACTTACGATACCAAGCAGTGTAACAGGAAACGGTCACAGTATGCCCGGACCTTGTTGGCAGTAGTGCTTGATAGGGAGCAGTCATTCGGGAGATTCTTAGAGTTGACCCATTCTTCTCCAGGAGACAGTTACCATAAAATAGGCAAGTGCGTCAGCGAATTGCTGTGCATATTTGTTCCCTGATTCCATGAGTTGAACCTCGCTCTTGTTTTAAATGCACCTCTTAAAGTTCGAGTCCGCAAGCCGAGTAGTCCACAAATCACTCCTGGTATTCAACCAACAGACGTTTACTGCAGTTCTGAAACGAACACCATGTCACATACAATGATTCAGTTTACGGCGCTCTTGCTATCTACCAATTTCTGACAATTCTGCAGTTACTGAGGTTGGTCACACCGGCATCAATGCTTATCACTTGAGGCTTGTCGTTTGACTGGACATCTTTAAACTGCCATGGTTACTCCGTCCGTCCGCCTCACTCCGTAGAGACGCACCAATCTGAGTACTAAACCGCTTTGTCTGTAGTTTTCGTTACTACCACAACCGATCGTAAATCTGCCTCAATGAGGTTCGTTTTCTAACGAGAACTGAAGTAAAGTATCGAACCAAAGTAAAAACAGACCAACCTACCTGGAAGGATCGTGTCCCCTTCTGGAAGTTGTGCATCCTCGTTGGTTGCGAAAAACGGTAGTCCCCTACAAACATATGAAGTCGCTTTTATAAGTTTTCTGTAATTGAAATATTCATCAAATCCAATCACCACGCCGGTAGTCTACAGATAAACGATGAGATTCTAAAAAAAGAACATAACGCTGATACGTTGGGCTCCAGATGGATGTCACGAAAGACATCATTGTCAGGTCCTTGATCCGGCTAATTGAAGCAAAATGGTGGACGGAATGAACACCGACTGATCACAACCTTCGACATACCCCTATACCAAAGTGTGCAATACCACACTTGTCCAACTCGAGTCCGATCCCACTCTGGCCGACCACATAGACTGGACCGAAATTGCCTTGACATTTAAGATAATTAGCGGCCACGTTCGCCGAACAGATGATGTTTTTCTATAGTGTACATCGGGATTTGAAACGTTACAACAAAACTATCTACCGCAGATACAGGTAGACCAAGGGTACGACACTTCTCAGAATACTGTTCGACAGATTTGGTACTGTTGTTCGTTATCAAGAAGACGTTCCGCTTCAACTCGAACAGTCGATCCAATAGGGCGATAGCGCCAGGGATGACGTTCTTTGAATTCCACAGTACACCTAAGAAGGGAAAGCAATTGCGAAAGTAAATTGCAATTACCATCACAATCGAACAGATATGTTGAACACTGCCGTAAAACTTCTGCGGCAGATGAAACCCGCTTCGTTTTCATCGGGAGTTGAGCACAGGTTGAAAGTGCACCGCCAACCTGAAAATTAAAGAACAGCAAAACAAGAAAGCACACGACATGGTAGTGATAAAATCAAGTAGCATTAATGATACTGTCTCCATGAAATGTCTTGTAAACCTCAAAGAAATTAGTGATAAAATGATAGCAAATGGAAGTAAAAGGAGACATGTCGATAACGCGTATAAAACAATGACTTCGTCTACCTGGAAAACCGAACGTATATTACATCTTAAGGTTACCACCCGCTACCCGTGTTGGATAGGTCAGATTCATTAAAACCCAGAACGCTCGCAACCTACTGAGACCCTAAAACTCCACCAAAATCTCAATAGGAAAGCCGGCAAGCATCCAGGCCAATCAAGCATCCAAGCAATCCGGCAACACCCTGGATGGATGAAAGTTAAATTTAAATAGCGTGAGGTCTCTTGTAAGGGTGGCACTCGCACGCACTCCATTGTTCGCAATAAACCTGTTGTGTTCTTTGTCGGTGTCTTTTTCCGGCATTAGGCACTGGAGCGGGAACAACAGTTAGATAGGACGGGTCGCCAAATCACCATTGAAAGCCCCAAGCATGAGGGGGGCAAGCGCGATTAGAGCCTAATTGGCCACACTATAGTCACAACTTCCAAGATAGGTAAGACGCTCCGAAACCTCGAGTGCCTCTTCCTGGGTTGTAAGTGGCATGTTGCGGGAGCATGACCTTGCACTTTGTGAATGCGAAACGCACGCTGAAGGACGGGACAGCTTTGACCAGTTCATCATAAACGCCTCTTTGAAGACAAGAGAGATATCGTGCGCATCTCCCCGATTGACAAAGATTTTCGTTAGCAGCTATTTGGATACCAGGGTATTGAATGCCTTCCAGCGTTCGTCTCTTTATCTCGTCAACCACAAACTGGACACGAACCGAGAGCATGCGCATCCCAGTGGGACACGGCCTTGTACATTGGGGCATTTGGAGAGCTTCTCGCATTCTCACTTGCCCGGAGTAACACACTGCTGACAAACTTCGGGGGCATTCCGTTCTGAGCATGTTAAGGAGAGCAGATCAGTCAGCTGAGTCGAATGAACCTAGGAAATCCAGAACTACCGAAATTGTGAGCCGCTTATACGTATGACGTTGTTCTAGCACCCAATGGAGTGGGAATTTTTGATCAACTCAACCTCTACCGAGCTTATAGGCGCTTCAGTTGGCACAGCTCCGTTCAATGAAGATTAAGACAATAATCAAATGGAAGCCACACCCGTTGCAGGCGATGACCCAGCCTGTGTGCTGACCACATGTGGCTTTGCTGCTTGGTATGAGATTAGTTGAGAGCCAAGTGGTGAAGGGGGTGGCTTTGATGTAACACAGCTGTCTCTCAGGGTCACTAACCACTGACTTGTCTCGTACTGCTCTTTAAGTTCTCAGCGAGGGACAATATGCTTGCCATCGCGAGGAATCACACAAAACGGCGTCTAATAGTGCTCTGAACTGGGTACTAGATGGAGCGTGGATAACCGTCAGAAGAAGGTTATTCCACGTAGCAACTACCCGAAATGAAAAAAATTGTTGTCTAATAAAAACGTGCGATCTGGGCTTGAAAATCCTACTATCATGTCCCGCCATATGTTAGCAAGATAAACAGTGAAAAACCTGCTGGCCAAACATTGTTCAAGCAGGGCGTAAGTGAGTCTTAGGTCTCCTCAGAGGCGACGAAACTCCAGGAGGAAGATATCAAGCGTTTCGAGATACGTTTCATGGTCCATGTATTTAAATCCGGCAACCATTTTCGTAGCAGCTCGTTTGGTACGCCCAACGAGGGTTACGTATTTCTTGAGTCCTGAGTAGACAACTTGATTGGCACGTTTAAGAAGCTGTCTGAAGTACGCCCTGTAGAGTATATGGAAGTCCATGTGAGTAATACGGGATAAGGTGCGCCGAACCGTCCATAGAACGCCGAATGTCTCCTGAGCCGATTTCTCATGGTGAAGTGGAAGGGACATGTTTGAAGAGAGCCAGATACCCTAATCCTTTTTGGCATTTATCCTCGTAATATCTCCTGGACCATTCTAATTATGCACGACAAAAGCATTCGATGAGTCCCCTCCAAATGTCATGTTGATGTACTTTTCACCATTCAGAGGAAGGTGCCAGCCCAAAAACTACTACCTTGTAGCGTCTACACCCACTTGAAGGGCAATGGAATTTGAAACTCGGGATTCCAAGTCGTCCGCGAAAGGTAGACTCGATATAATGTCTGGTAAGTCGTTAACGTGGATCAGACACGACAGTGGTTCATAAACGGAGCCTTGAGAAACTCCAGTAGAGTCCAGCGCCGGAGAAGAGGAGGGGGGCAAGCGCGATTAGAGCCTAATTGGCCACACTATAGTCACAACTTCCAAGATAGGTAAGACGCTCCGAAACCTCGAGTGCCTCTTCCTGGGTTGTAAGTGGCATGTTGCGGGAGCATGACCTTGCACTTTGTGAATGCGAAACGCACGCTGAAGGACGGGACAGCTTTGACCAGTTCATCATAAACGCCTCTTTGAAGACAAGAGAGATATCGTGCGCATCTCCCCGATTGACAAAGATTTTCGTTAGCAGCTATTTGGATACCAGGGTATTGAATGCCTTCCAGCGTTCGTCTCTTTATCTCGTCAACCACAAACTGGACACGAACCGAGAGCATGCGCATCCCAGTGGGACACGGCCTTGTACATTGGGGCATTTGGAGAGCTTCTCGCATTCTCACTTGCCCGGAGTAACACACTGCTGACAAACTTCGGGGGCATTCCGTTCTGAGCATGTTAAGGAGAGCAGATCAGTCAGCTGAGTCGAATGAACCTAGGAAATCCAGAACTACCGAAATTGTGAGCCGCTTATACGTATGACGTTGTTCTAGCACCCAATGGAGTGGGAATTTTTGATCAACTCAACCTCTACCGAGCTTATAGGCGCTTCAGTTGGCACAGCTCCGTTCAATGAAGATTAAGACAATAATCAAATGGAAGCCACACCCGTTGCAGGCGATGACCCAGCCTGTGTGCTGACCACATGTGGCTTTGCTGCTTGGTATGAGATTAGTTGAGAGCCAAGTGGTGAAGGGGGTGGCTTTGATGTAACACAGCTGTCTCTCAGGGTCACTAACCACTGACTTGTCTCGTACTGCTCTTTAAGTTCTCAGCGAGGGACAATATGCTTGCCATCGCGAGGAATCACACAAAACGGCGTCTAATAGTGCTCTGAACTGGGTACTAGATGGAGCGTGGATAACCGTCAGAAGAAGGTTATTCCACGTAGCAACTACCCGAAATGAAAAAAATTGTTGTCTAATAAAAACGTGCGATCTGGGCTTGAAAATCCTACTATCATGTCCCGCCATATGTTAGCAAGATAAACAGTGAAAAACCTGCCGGCCAAACATTGTTCAAGCAGGGCGTAAGTGAGTCTTAGGTCTCCTCAGAGGCGACGAAACTCCAGGAGGAAGATATCAAGCGTTTCGAGATACGTTTCATGGTCCATGTATTTAAATCCGGCAACCATTTTCGTAGCAGCTCGTTTGGTACGCCCAACGAGGGTTACGTATTTCTTGAGTCCTGAGTAGACAACTTGATTGGCACGTTTAAGAAGCTGTCTGAAGTACGCCCTGTAGAGTATATGGAAGTCCATGTGAGTAATACGGGATAAGGTGCGCCGAACCGTCCATAGAACGCCGAATGTCTCCTGAGCCGATTTCTCATGGTGAAGTGGAAGGGACATGTTTGAAGAGAGCCAGATACCCTAATCCTTTTTGGCATTTATCCTCGTAATATCTCCTGGACCATTCTAATTATGCACGACAAAAGCATTCGATGAGTCCCCTCCAAATGTCATGTTGATGTACTTTTCACCATTCAGAGGAAGGTGCCAGCCCAAAAACTACTACCTTGTAGCGTCTACACCCACTTGAAGGGCAATGGAATTTGAAACTCGGGATTCCAAGTCGTCCGCGAAAGGTAGACTCGATATAATGTCTGGTAAGTCGTTAACGTGGATCAGACACGACAGTGGTTCATAAACGGAGCCTTGAGAAACTCCAGTAGAGTCCAGCGCCGGAGAAGAGTGGATTGAGCCTACTTTCATTGGGAATGTTCTGTCCGATAGGAACGCCCTAGTGCAGCGTAGAATTTCCCCCTGAATCCCGTAAGACTCGAGTTTGTGGAGTAGAGTAAGGTGTTGCACTGGGTCGAATGCTTCTGAGAAGTCGGAAAATATGGCACCCGAAGAGTCCCTTGTCCTTAGCTTGGGTTAAGCTATCCATGAATATTAGGATGTTAATGATAAGATAACCGTTCAGCCGTAACACCCTTTCTGTGCCTTGCTGCCATGCCACCCGAAGAAAGCAAGAGTGCTGGGATACTACTAGGTTGCCCAAGCCTAGACGGGGGAAGTCGAGAAGCAGAGGTTGGGTTCGAACCACGGACATTCCGGTCAGCAAATTCGCGCCCTAACTACTGACCCATACGATCATGCTTCTTACGCAAAAACGGTTTGGGAGGAATCCGTGTTGCACTGGGAACATTAAGTAGCTGGTGCTGAGGTGATTTAAGATGGACCGCTACAGAATGCGTTCCGTCACCTTGAGCGGCATGCTGGTGAGGCTAATAGCCCTGTAGCTGCTAAGTAATAGTCTGTCACCAGTTTTGTAGATAGGTGTGACAATCGCTTCCTTCAGAACAGGGGGAAGATAGGCTTCGTCAAGCGGCTGACAAAATATCAGGTGGAAATGCTTTGCCAGTGTGAACGACATTTCCTTCAAGATCCCTGGATGGGTCTCGTCTGGCCCCAACACGCAGAATGGTTTTGTCTTATGCAAGAGTTGATGAACGTCCTCCTTTGTGCACACCAAGTTGGTTAGAAGCCATTCATAGTTACACCTTGACGGCATTGGGTGTGACGACGTCGCTGGGACAGAGTACGGGCCTGCATTGTGTTCACCGTAGACTTGAGATACCACTACTGGGTCACTCATGAGTTCCCCGTTCCTGTTTCTCAAGGAAAACGCGTTCGGCTTATTTCTGCGGCGATGCCTCATGTAATCAAACAGCACGTTTTTGTTTTCCGGGCGAAGTCTAGTGTGGTGACTTGTTTTCGTATGTTTAATTGGCACATTTCTGACTTACAGCGGTCTCGCATTTTACTAAACGCCAGCTTATCTTCTGTGCCTCCTGTAGTCAGCTTTTTGAAGTGGTTTGGGCCTGTTTTACAGAAGACATCGAATCCTTCTAAGTAGCTTGCAGTTCATCTGACTGTGTGCTGGTTATTCTGAATAGCAACAAACCTAGTGGTCTAAAAGGCGGCAATGAACAAGCTACAAGTAACGGCGGTCGAAATTTTCGCCCACGAGGGGAACAACTACATCCCTCAAAGGTAAAACGTTCGCGTAAACTGGACTCCCACTGGACCAAGAAACCTGCAAATGAAAGCCAGCTCTCGAAAACACCAATAAAAGAAACAGACAAGTATGCCGCGGAGGCCTCTTCAGAGCCTTGGATTCAAACCTGGCGTTCGGCTATTAAATCTGCTAACATCTCTGACAGCACACGTATACAATTATGGAAGACTCACTACTAACCTCTAATGCCTGTGGGGTCGAAGTGCTCCCTGGGCCTCTGCTCACAGACATCGAGTACGCAGACAACAGAGCTGTTCTTGGATCTGACGCCGTGGTAATGCAAACGATATTAAATAATCTAAATAATTGTACCTCGCGGTTCGGCATGCGCTTCACACCTGCAAAGTGTTAAGTGCTATTGCAAGACTGGGTGGCTCGAACCCTAGCCTCATGCTTGCGGATGAACCGATTGAGGTAGTAGACAAATTTGTTTACCTGGGCAGCTGTATCAGTCTCGGTGGTCTCACGAAAGATGAAATTTCCATCCGGGTTGGGAAGGCCAGAGCAGCTTTTGCGAACCCATTCTACCCGTGGCGTAGGCGTGACATCCGCTTCTCTATCAAGGGGCGAGTTTATAATGCTGCGGTGCGCTGCATATTACTATATGGATCAGAAACCTGGCCGCTGCGCACCGAGGACGTCATAATACCTTCAGTGTTTGACCATCGATGTCTTCGGAGCATTGCTGGAATCTGATGGGGACACCAGAAGTTCGTCGAATGGTATTCGGGGAAAATAAATCACCCTCGATAGATGAAC